ACACAAAATGCTTGCAACTAATTGGATGTTATACATGTAATTATGAGAGGCAAAAAATTTATGTAAGGAGCTTCTGATCAAGTTTCCAATCATGTTCAAGAGTTTATATATTTGGAGTGCATTAGAAGATGATTAATTTCTTTTCCCCTACAAATGCATCCAATGATTCCTTTTAACTAACTAGTTCTGAACAAACACAGGTAATATTGTTCTTTAATCTACCACCCAATTAACAAATGCACCTCAAGTGATGATGTGTGCTTAAGAGAGAGTCAAAATATCTAACGTGTTAGATTTTTGCTTTTTTAACTTTTTAACTAACATTTTCTCTTTCTAACTTATAGTATTATTCAGTGACCATATCATTTCTATGCCTTTCACCATTGGCGTGAACACATAATTTCATCACATATATGAATTAAACACCCAAAATAAAGATTATACAAATAGAGCTAGGATTCACTTTCACATAACTCTTACATTTACACAAAATCTTGAGCATTCATCTCTCTACCATGAATGGTTGAGATTTATCACAATTTTTCAAATGAGAAAGACAATTATATTTAAAAAAAATTTTAAAAATAGGATAAAGAATAGATAAATCTCAACCATTTATAATAGAGGGATGAATGGTTTGCATGTAATGTGTAAGAATTGTGTGTAAATATATTATAACTTGTAAAGGTGTTAAAAAAATAAAATAAAAACATAAATATTTACTCAACACTTCAAAAGTAAATGCTTAGTGATGACTAATTGACAATAAAGAATGGAAAACTAATAAGACGAAGAGCATAATGCTGCTAAGAAAATAAGGTAGACTTCTATGCCTTGTAAAAGCATACATTCACAAATTCCTTCTAACACACACAGGCAACATTTAATTATTTTAATTAGCCATGAACCAATAAATTTCATTTACTCACTTCTACAAGAAATTAATGATTTCATAACTACTTAGGCAGTCTCAGACTTTTATCTGAAAATTGGAGGATTTATCGCAATTCCTAAAGCACATGTGATATCATACACTATATATATATATATATATATATATATA